CCAGGCAAGCCACTTCAGCCCCCATGAGAGACTCATCTGCACTTTGCAGAGAACACCACAGTGCCCACAGCCCTCACTCTGCACTGCTGACCCTGAGCTTGTCTAACAGCTCTGTAAGTGGAGCTCCTGAGGCTATATCCAAGTCCTGAGGCCATATCCAAGACACAACCTGGTGGCAGCAGGATGCTTGCTAACATTAGGGATTTCCAAGGGATTTTCCAGGGAGTTGATCCCAACACTTATGCAAGGCTTGATCTACATGCATTAGGAGAGTTCCTCCTCCAGCAGGGTAACAGTCCCCTGCAACAGAAGGGTTTCTGGTCATTCACTCCAAGAAAAGGCATTATCTCTGCAACTCTTCCTCACTGCATCAACAGTGGAAGCATCTTTCAAGCTCTCTCCCTAAAACCAGATGCTGGAAGCTGCTGTCTAGATGCCAGCACTGTTGGCTTTATCAGTGTTTTTGGCAAGGAGCACAAATTGTATTTGGAAACTGCTTTCCTACTGCTTTGTAGAACTCCACTTTCTCTCTGCTGTTGGGAGGTGGTGCTGGTTATGGGTGCTGGAAGAGGCTAGCACGGCCATGGAGTGAATGCATCTTCTGCATCTTTGCCCTCCCTTGAGAAAGGAAAGTATCTTGCTGTGATATCAATTATGAAAAAAAAGAAGTTTAAAGTCCATTTTTGGAGCCATGCATGCCACAGTCCAGCCCCAGCACACAGTGCCTCTGCATGTGTGCTTGGCACATGGGTGCCAGCAGACTGACTGTGCTGCATTTCCATTGCCTGCCAGGCCTGACTCATCTCCCAGGCTCCTCTTGGAGTCACAAAGGCATAGCTGGGGGCTATGTCTGTGCCACAGCAACAGCGCTGTTGAATCAGAGAAGTCATCTGCAGTCATGTCAGAGCAACAAGCAGCAACTTGTGGAGTCACTCAAACAGTGCAGGCAGGTAAGGCAGCAACACTATGGACCCTTCTACATAAGCCAGGGGCTGTGGTGTGCTTGTGGCACCCACAGACACCCAGAACTTGCAGCCATTGCTGGCACTCAGAACCAGGAGAGGTGTGGCACTGCCACACTTGTGCAGGCTGCTTCTTCTCTGAACAGCATTGAAAGCAGGATAGTAACAACTGCCCAGCACTGCCAGATGTGCTCAGATCTGTGCTTTCCACAAAAGCCTGACAATGCAGGGTAACTCTTGCATCTCCTGTTCCACTTTGCTGCAGTGCAACACTGGCAAGGACACTAAGCTGTTCTGATATTGGACATTCAATCCTCTCTTATCATTTTAGAATCTAGGTATTGTATGCAATGGTAATAAAGTTTATTACTGATATCTTTCAAAGGGGAGTGGAATAACCACAAAGGTGTCCTTTGGTGGAAAAATAAAAGCAAGCACATTTCCGATACTTTGATCCCTCCACAATCATCTCCCAGTTTTCATCTCACAATGCTGTTGTACTCACAGCACATCCTTTCAGCTCTCTCCAGAGGTTCCTGCTGTGAGACACTCCATTAGGAGGAAGAGGCACCTGCAGGTGCTGAGATTAATAATATTTAATGTCAGCAGAACCTTTTGATCATAAATACTCTGACACTCAGCAGATGTCTCCAAATGATACTACTGACTATGCCTCCCACTATATCACCTATATCACCTGTCTTTTAGGTGCCCCTTCCTCTTAACCAAGACTTTTCCTACCACTGGCCTGGAACTAAAACTGGTTAAAAATGATCCCGTATCTCTTTTGATCCCACAGACTGGGAATTTGATCTTCTTGTTCTGCTGCAAAAGCTGTTACTTTCAAGTCATTTTAACAAAACCAACACAATCAGAATTGAATAAACCAAATCATTCTTCCAAGTCTGCTGATTTTGTAGGCTGAAATGATGCAAATTCCAGGGAAGCAGGTTAGATGCCCAGCCAAAGCTTGGTCATGCTGTACAAACCAAATTGTGCCCTGCCTGCAGCCTGTCCCGGCTTCTTTGACACCAATGTGCTCACATCTCAGAGCACAAGCAACAGCGCTGCCCAGACTTCACTCTGCTCTGCCAGACACCTTTCCTTTCAAAAATATGTCCTTGCCATCTCTATTTAACTGTGCTGCTGAAAAAAAAATAGGCCATTCTGACCTGCACCAACTTCTTGGCTCTGGCACAGAAAAGCAGACAAACAATCTGGTATCAATGAAAAAAGTGTTTGCAGAATGGGACAGATCTGCTGTCACCATTTCACACAAGAAGGAACTAGTCACGGAAAAGCACCTTCTCTAAAGTCACTCAAGTCAGTCTAAAGACAGAAAAAGGCAAATCTTTTACTTTATGCCACTACGGTCAAACTGCTGGACTTGCTGTAGAAAGGATTCAAACTGATTCTCAAATCATACTCTTCTGACTTACTGTGACCAAAACACCTCATAATTTTCATGACAAAAATACAGCACACAATACACAATCAATGAGTCACTGCTGATAACAAGCTCACTTCTTTGAGACAAAGCAGTTTGCCCATGGCAACACAAACTTTCACTCAGAAGCAGTTCTAGACATTCTCACAACTAGAGATTTATTCCTTAATATTACACCCTGCACCCAACATCTGATGCTCCAATTTACAATCACTACTCCTCTAGCACATTCCAGCTCTTCTCACTTTTAAAAACAGCCAACAGATGATCTTCATTTCACCATTCTGGTACCCTTATGTAACAGAAAAATTCAGCTAAACTTTATAGATTTTGCAGTCATTTCACAAAACACATAAACAATGCATCCATAACTTGGCTTCACACTTGGTTTCTCCCAGCAGGTAAACTCCTTTCACTGGATACTCACTTCAAATGAGTAGTATTCACTGACAAACAGAAACCCACAATGATCCAGCCCTTAAGCAAACTTGTTTTTATATTGTATTCCCCATAAAAAATGTAACACCTGCTTTATCCTGTCTGAAAAGTCAGCCTTGCTCTTAAAGGAATCTGGAAGACAAAATAAAGGATACCTTTTTCTGCCTTTTTTTTTTTTTTAGTAATGTAACTTACCTGCAGTGCTTTGGTTACTGAAATGAAAATCTTTTTTTTCTCCTCAACTGCTTCCCTTCTATCAAAAATTTGCCACCTGCACTTTATATCATGTCCTTCCAAAGGTGTGTGGAACCTGAGTGATCATCCAAAAATGTTCACCTCTTCTTTATTTCTCCTGTTTTATTCTCGCCCTTCTTTTGCTTTTCTATTCCCGAGCTCTTATACAAGTCCCAACAAAGGCGTGTCGTGGTTTCCTGCCTCACCCTAACCTTCAAATTATCTGACACTCACTGAAAAAAAAGATCTGCCTCCAGGAATCAAACTTTATTGAAAGTAAAACTGCTCCTTCCTATTCACTCAGGTAGATTAACTATTAAGATCCCAAAGGTATAAAGGTTTATGCCAGGGAATGTGAACAGGTCTAGCAGTACTTTCTGATACATGATCTAATACCTGTTTGGGAATTTTCTTGCAGGAGATTACACAGCACTTGCTGATGCCACTGCAAAGCCGCCTGCAAGTTAAGCATATTCTGCTGCTTGCAAATACAGCAGGCTGAAGTACCAGCTATGACAAACTGGCTGAAAACACCTTAAGTTAGGGATCTGAAGTGTTTTGCCAACTCCACAGATATTTATCTCTGTTCAGAAGAAGCAATATTAATAAGTAAAAATACACCAAATTAAGTAAGAAACAAAATTTCTTCCATGAATACTACCTGCAAACTTCTCACTGCATAGGAACTGAAGCAGAAGGGCAGCTATGGTGGGTTAGAGCAAACCTGCATCCAGCTCAGGACCCTGCTTTCTTAGCACAGCTCATTGTAACAGCTCTGGGAACACCAGCTGAACAGGACAAACACATCCAGATTTTTTCCCGGTGTACAGAGTCAAAAGTGACAGCACTGCAGTCATTCTTTGACAGATGGCTTTCCATTAGTTTGTTCAATTAGTTTTTGAATCTGTACATTTTATATGTACAGTGTACTACAGCAAAGATTTTATACCTTAACTATACCTTGTGTAAATATTTTCCCTCCTACTGAACATAACAGTGCCATTCACTGCCCTGTGCTTCTTGTAAGAATCAGAATTCACCTTGGCTTTTCCCACCCTACAGATTTTGACAGATTTGTTCTGCTGAATAGGAAAGAAGTTAACACTTCATGGGGATTTTTGCCCAGAACTTTTGAAGGGGTGTAGCCTTGTACTGTCAAGATAGCATCCCATTCTTTTAAGTCCCATATTGGAAATTTCCAAAGGTGTGTAGGGACATGGCTGCTCTACAGCCCTGCACTCCACTCTAAAGGCTATGCCCTGTGTTTTTGATGGGGATCAGGACCTTTTCAGAATTGATAATCCATCTCGTAATCCCAGACCTTGTACTTATATTTATCTTTAGTCAGGTATTTATGCAGCATAATTTTTTCCCTGCATGCAGGAAGCAGCTATTACTCTGCTTCTGGAACACTAATCAAAGAACACTTAGTTGTCTAAACAAGCTGCATCTGGTAATTAAGTCATTTAGAGGTGTAGAACTCAGCCTGAGACAGGGTCAAACTGCACTTGGCTTTAAACCTTGACCAAAAGGATAAAAGTGGCTTTAGCTTTCTGAGCTTCATGCCCTTTGAACATGACACAAAACTGTCCTCTTGTCATCAACTGCACCTAAAACCTGCACTTCATTCAACTTATTCTACATTCACTTTCAGACAATCCAGTGTGTGCATCAGACACACACATTGTTCAAGGAAACACGGCACTGAAAGCACTGGAATGTTCTAGCTCTGTAAAATCTATCAGTATGAGGGAGACTTACTGGAATGGCACACAGACTTCACTGGAGCGAGAGACAGGACCTCACATTTTCAGACAAAGTTCTCAGGATTGGAGAAATTTCCACCCTCCTTTACTTCTGTCTACCAGGTTTTGTTAATGTATAAACAAAATGAAGCCATCACAATTTTGATAAAATAAGAAAATTACAGTATTTTCATCCCTGCAATGTTGAGACAAAGATCCTGGTTTAATGTTTATTATGAACAAGGTGCTCAAGGAGCATTTCTTCATGAGACATTTGGCCAATTTCTCACCGGAAAGTTAAAGAAGGCAGAGGTAAGAGTATAACATGAAGGTGATTTAAAAGGAAACTGAAAATAAATCACATCTTGAGAACTGACCTCATATTTCACAGGACAATACAAGATAAGATAGTGTTGAGTATGCTGCCAGCTGAAACCCATTGATTAGGTCACTCAGGTCCCTGCTGGGCAAGTGTCAACATCAATGATATAATTTAGAGAGGTCCTGAGCTGTTCACAGCTTTGACTGAAGTCAGTGATGGTCAGATATTCAGAGCACTGTAAGCCAGGTGTCTAATGGCAGAGTGCAAAGAATTGCAGCAAACCCAGCTTCAGGTCATCAGCTGCCACTCCTGCACTAACAGTGGTGTGTGGGCTGGTGGTTAGAGCAGAGGAGGCACTGTGAGCTCCTTCTGGAGTAACAATCACCATCATTCCATCCCCCACCTGTCCTGCTCAATTTTGATTGTAGAAGCCATAGAAGTCTGCTGAGGTGGAGACATATTCCTGTTGAGAGTACCTGGGAATGTTCTACCAGCTGCAGTTTGCTGCCTTTCCTGCTCCCAGCACAAGAAGTTGCAGAGACACTGAGCTTTCATCAATGTCTTGGTCTGGGAGTTAGAGACATCAAATCTCAGTTGAAGACAGCACCATTTTCCTGGTGAAAGACGCTCAAAGAATTTACAGCACCTGATGCTTGCACTGAAAAAGTTAAGAAGATGAGGCAGAGCTCTGCACAGTCACTGCTCCTGGAGCTGGGCTGTGCTACAACACATCTGAATCACTTCTTACTCTGCAAGGGAAGTCCAGTATAAAGGTTCTCAAAGCTGAACCAGCTTTTGTTTTGTTGTGGCCATTCTCTAAAAGCTTGAGGTGTGTTCATGGTTTAGAAGCAGACAAGTTATGGTAACTTGTCACCTTCAAAGGAAGCTGTGGAGAAATGAATAAGGTGCACATTGGTCTGATAATTCTGTCTTGATTGGAACATAAATTACACAACTCGTGAATCAGCCAAGAAGCTGATTGGAATAGTGCAGGCCCACACAAGGATGGTTTGCACAAGGAAGAAGAAACCACACCTATTTCTATATAGCAACTGTAGTTCCCTCCATGCCTTGGTTTTATACAAGGCAGCCACTGAACCAACTGGAGCCTCTTGAGTCACCCCTTGACTCAATGCCCTGAGTCCATGGTTCGCACATCACTTGGGAAACTCACTGTGAGTAACCTCGGGCATGAATAAAAGCCTTGCTGGGAACTGATCATCTTTTCTGGGGTGCAGGAAGGTGAATAATGTCAGCATACAAAAAACTTTGCTAACTCCATCTCTCAGGTCTCAGGGTACTTCAGTGACCAAGAGTCTTGGCTGTTTGTACTCATTAATACCAAGACTGTACAGCTAAGGTCTGCCTTTCCTCTCTCCTTCTGGCCTTATATAGCATTCCACATGGCTTCTCAGTGCAAACAATAAATAACAATATTTATTATAAATTTATACCTTCATATTATGGAGTATTATAGAACACAGCTCCTCAACAGTGCAGGACAAACTGAACTGTACTGGTCCCGAGAGGTGGGGCTGGACTGTTCTGCTGGGCCACAGCAACTGGGAGGAAGTTGCTGAAGACTTGGGCTTGCTGCTCTTTTTATCACCATGTAGACAGGAGGAGTGGGTCTGTCCAGCAGCTGGAGACAGCTGTGCATCTCTGCTCAGAGACAAGTTTGTACAGACACCAGGGCCCTGGTGCTCTGCAATACAATTGCCTAATAGTTACCAACAAGTAGCCCAGTCCATGGACAGGGGATGGACATGTGCATTGTCCTGTGCCTGGGACTGCTCCTGATAACGTAAGTTTTGGGGACAGAAAAATCCAAACAAAACACCTCTCAGAGGCCTCCTTGTCCCCCATGCTGCTTTTTATTCACATCAGTGCTCGGGCACATTGCACATCTCAGTACAGGTCAGGCTGTACAGCAGGAGTTGGCTGGCAGAACCAGGAGTTATCACCCATGTCAGACTCACCTCTCACCTCTAATGGCATCAAGGCTGCAACGTAAACAGATCTGTGTGCAAAGGTGACCTGCTGTTATCTCCCCCTCCCTCCACACCCCACCCCACTGTCCCCATAGAAATTAAGGAGCTACCCCAGCTGTCCAGCACACCACAGCATCTGCCAGGCAACTGGGCTGTGAAGCAGATGAGCCTGATCACTGCCTCTCTGAGGGGTTTCACTGCGAGTTTAAGTGAAGTCATTTGCATCCATAAGATTCTTCTCCCTCGCAGTGCTGGCATGATGAATAATCTCTTTCACTTTGTCCTCTAGGTAAGAGTTGCCTGCAGCACAAGCTGCATACGGCAGCACAGCCAGGAGCTGGCTGAGGCTCTCGTTTGATGCTGGCAGTTATTCCAATGAGCCCACTGCCCAATCTGCTGGGTCAAAAGGAACCAGTCCTTGACTATTTTGCTTACCATACCGTGCAAGTTGCACTCAGAGAATCAAATAATTTCCTGTCCTCTGGCTTTTAGAGAACTCCTGTGTGTTTGAAAGTCCACCTGTGAACCCTTAAAACAGTTTTAGCACTGACAAAATCAATGTGTGCTAACCTCACACATTTCAGGGCTGTGACACAGCACATTTGAATCACTGAATATCTGAATATCTGATTATCAAACATTCCAGGCAGACAGCAAAGGGACACAACCAGTGCCAGATGACCTGGCTGTGGTGCTGCCAACACACACAGTGGAGAAAAGTCAAAGCAAGCAGTTAAGCAGTTTACAAAAAGCTGTCACCATGGGGAAAAAAAAAAAACAACCAAACAAAAAAAACCAAACCAAAACAAAACCTAAACAAAATATTTTTTAAAAATCTCTCTGGCAGCTCCAAAGAAAATAAGGTATCGTTTGTGAACAGTTCACCAGCTCACCCATGATTGAAATTTCAAGCAATTAGTATTTCAGGCAAATAATTCTACCAGTTCTACCTGTACCAGTCCAAAGCCTTCAAGTTTAAGCACCCTTACAAAAAGCAACACAGGGAGAATTTCAGTGCAAACTGCATACAGGACAAAAGCTGGAGACAAAAGCTGGACAAAACCTCTGCTTATCTTGGAGATCTGCCTCAGAAAATTATGGGTGTTGGCAAATAAGCATGTTTTCTGTCTGCAATCTTAACAGAAAATTCAAGGCAAACATTGGCAAAAAAAATCCTGATGAAAAATTTCATGCAGGCTAAGCTACGGTTTGTAGCAACTCACCTCCTATATAGAGAGACAGATTCTCGTTAGCAGGAAGGCAAATGCAGGGGAAAGTGCCTGAAGGGTCTCTGAGAGCAGTTTTCTTTTGCTTTCCCCTTTTCCAGTCCCATACATTCCTGCCCTGCAAGTCCTTTTCGCTACTAAGTTTCAAACAGCAATTTTAGGATCAAGGATTATTTCATAACCCAGGAATCTGAGAATGGAAGTGCCACTGATGCTGTGACACTCAGGTGAGTTTGTGCATAGAACAAGAAAATCTCCTGGAAGTACCTGGGCACTGAGAAGAAATGAAGCACAAGCTTGTGCTTAAAGCCCACAGCTCACACCCAGTGCAAGGAACCTGGCCAAGCACTTGGGACCACTGCTGGGGAATAAGTGAAGAAAGCCCCAGGCCTGCTGCTGCAGGGACAGCTGAACTGCAACCTTAGTCTGAAATCTGTGACAAAATGGAAATCAAAACACTCTTGATTTTTTGTGGAGAACTGAGAGAAGGTCATCCCAACGATGAATACAGTCACTTGGGACATGCAAACATGTACTGTACAGGGATTTAAACCTGTGATTTTTGCATTGTTTTCTTCAACTCTGTGATAAGACAGTCTGTCCTGAGCTGAAGGGGCTTTGATGAAATGCTTCCTTTAAAATAATGAGGTTTTTGAGGAAATTGTCAAGCTTAGGTGCAAAGTTTCTGAGGGAGGAAAAAAAAGGGGGGCTGTACAAACATGTTAGAGAATATGCTCTCTGTATATCCTGAGAAGTTTTGGCTATCCCCCATGAAAAAGACTGAGGCCATTCAGCAAATTTCCTGGGTCAGACTTTGAATGGAAGGCTGCAGAGCTCCACAAGACTTCTGTTCAGAGATGGGCTCCGACAACATCATCCTCCTTCTTTGCTAGGAAGGCACTTCCTGTGATTAGGCTCTCAAGCATTTCAGGGTGGTGCTCACTTTTCACTGCCAAGGTAAACAACAGAATGAAAAGTCCCTGCTGGGCTACTACAGTGTTCCCTCTAAGGGAACATGCTCTGCTGTAAGCCCTGTTTATTGCCACTGATCATTATGGATTCATCATGGACTGGAATTTATCACAGTACAGACTGGTGTTATAATTAGGGATGGGCATTTCAGCTCACACCAGCTTTTTGTTCTCCTGGGTTCTTCACAACCATAAATCAATTTCCAAACATATGCTTATCTGAATATTGCAAAACAGTTTTAAATCAAGAGCTTTGTTTCCATTAGCATAAAGCTGGATTGGGCTTGTTCCTGTTGCATTTGTTTAGATCTGGATTAATAACACACAATAAAAGAGCATTCTGGATCTGATTTTGGTTCCAAAGGTGACATAGCACTTGTTATAATTGCTTGTGGCAAGAAAGTGTGTGAAATTGCTTTTATTCCTGTTTCTACTGCTATTTATTAGTTGAACTGGTCCTCAGAAAGACTTGAATCCTTCTTGGCTGCTGTCATGCTGCACCTGCTTTTCCTGGGGCACACAGGCTCAAGCTGCCATGTGCAGGCTTGCAAAGCCCCAATTTAAATGGCACTCCTTTATTAGAGGATACATTCCAGAGGCATAAAATATTATTATCCGATACACATGACTAGAAGACTGCTGATCTCCTGCAGGACTGCAAGCACAAGATGGGACATGAGGCTGGGTAAAATCACTCTCCAGAGCACACCTCACGTGGCAGCTGGAAGCTTCAGATCTGTTGTCAGTACTGAGGCTGGAGACCCTCCTCTCTCAAAATGCAAAAATTACTGAAGTAAAGAATGAGTCAATCTCATTGAGACAGTAGCTCTCACTTCAGTTGTCTCTTCTGTGGAAACATTCTCCTACATTGTAGAAATTCTGTTTCCAACACTTTTCTACCTCTTCCAGTCTTCAGGAATTTCTCAGTATCCTCCTCAAGACAGAGATATTAACAATCTTCTTTCTACTTCTTTCACAGATTTTCCTCGTCTTCTCTTTTTAGCAAGTAGTTATGGGAATTTATTAATTCCTAGGTTTTGTGGTCATAGGAGAGAAGCTGTTATTTCAATTCACATTGAAACAGAGATGTGTGAGGTTTTCATATTTAGTACTTCAACTGTGCCTGCATTTCCACAGGGAAGTTATAGGTGTCTTCACTAGAACGTGCTTCTGTCTTGACTTGTTGGCTCAATTGGCTGTTTACAAAGAGACTCCTTTATATGATATTAGCAGAAAGCAGTGTTCTTTTTTCACTTGGTCATTGAAAAAGTTTGGAGAGAGTAAAATGTCAGCAGTGTGCTGCCTGCTCCCTGATGGTTATGCTGGAGATAACACAGACCTTTGCTCTGTTCACGAGGAAGCTGGCACAGACTGAAACTGGAATCCTTTTTTTCTCTACACTGGGATTATTTTTTAGGATCTTGGCCAAAAGGTGCAAGGTCTATCTTGCTCAAATTCTGCTGTTAAATACAGATTTTTATAAATAGTAATTATTTATCTCTTTCACAGTGTCTTTCACCCATATCTTGTGTTAAAATTATAGCATTTGTGGACTTGCTTCTATTTTGACACACAGCACTTCAACAATCTCAAGTTTCTCATCTATATCCAAGACCCTGGCACCATACAAATGTCCCCACAGAAAAGAACAGACCAGATCCAGAGAACAGGCACAACACAGACTCAATACTTCTCTTCAGAAACCATTTGAAAAAAAAAAAGATACAAGGATTAAAATAAGCCAGACTTCACACTTTCTTTTTTGCCTTGACTCTGAGTCAGTTAAGAACAGACAATTGTAAAAGTGGGAAACTGTGGCTGGAGTCACAATGCAGTTAGAGACACACCATTTATCAACAGTTAGAATAAGAATAAATATTTGAGCAATATTACAGAAGCAAAAAGTTATGCCTTACAGCTCATTAACAAGTATTTTCCAATTTTTTTAATGATCTCTCACTGTTCTTTAATCTAGGACGATCTTTTAGATTGCAGCTTTCTTCTCATGTGGGTTTAAAGCAGTTTTCAGCACCATTCATGGTTATTTTGTTTATGCTCCCATTCTCTCAGTATGGGAAACTTTCCAAGTTTCTCACTTTTCATTAGAGATCATGCTTCTGCAAGCAAATCTCTAGCCAGACACACCTTTGCCATACAAACCACAAGTGATATGCTAATTCCAACCCAAAAATGTCTGTTCAAGAACAAAAAAAAGGGAACAGATGAGTGTGAGCCCTCTCACATTATTTCCTTCTGCCTTGTAAGAACAGAGGTAGAATTCTAGAATCACAGAATGGTTTGGGTTGGAAGAGACCCTAAAGACCATCTAGTTCCAGCCCCTGCCATGGGCAGAGACCCCTCCCACTAGACCAGGCTGCTCAGAACCCCATCCACCATGGCCTTGAACACTTCCAGGGATGGGGCATCCACAACTTCTCTGGGCAACCTGTGCCAGTGCTTCAACACCTTCACAGTAAAGAATTTCTTCCAAACATCTGATCTAAGCCTGCCCTCTTTCAGTTGGAAGCCATTCAGCCCCTGTCCCGTCACTATCTACGCTTCTCATAAGTCCCTCTCCAGCTCCCTTATGGGCTCCCTTCGGGTACTGGAGTGCCATCATTAAGTCACCTCACAGCCTTATATTCTCGAGCATGCAGCCTCTGCAATATCTGCCCATGTCTGCTGGTGTAGTAGTAATAAAAAGAGTAGTAATAATAACATAATGATAAGACCTAATATTATTTTTTTAGAAATCACGCAGCTCCTTCATGCATGGCAGTCTTACAGTCATCTCACGTGTAGTAGGAACTCAGACAATCTTAAGTTGCTCATCTATCACAATTCATTTAATTGAGCAGTCACTCTTTGCCATGATTAAAACAACAATGTTAAGATGACAACTGTAGGACCAGCTCTCCAATATGCCAGAGCTTATGGAGCTCTTTTTTCCTTTCACCAAGACTCATTTTTGTGCAGTTAGGCAGGAACACTTCTTCATTTTCCATCCTGAATTCTTTCACTCATTTCTCTTGATGATCCCAAGCTAGCTGAGGGTCACTCTGCCTTGCACAAGGGGCGTTTTCCTGGAATAGCTCACTATTTTTGCTAAACAAGTATTACATTTTGCTAAACTAGCATTACAGTTTCAGTTGCAATGAGCAAAACAACAAATATATAAACCAGGAATATTCAGAGAAAACACAATGAGCAGCAAGTGGCTTTACTGGGAAAGCCTCTACATAATTTGGTTCCCAAGCTGCAAGTGACACTTTTACTCCTTGCTCTCCCCAGTCAGGGACAGCAGTGGTTCAATCACTCCTTCATACAACTTGACCTGGAAGAGGATCTCATTTTACAAACCAGCTTTTCTCCAGTACCAAGAAGGTATTAAAAATCAAAAGTATAAGGATGAAAGATGGCATGATGGCAAACACACTATGCTCCAGCTGCTCAGCTGGAAGGGCAGAACCCTGGTGAAAACGGAAGCTTTCCTTTCCAGGACTTGATCACTGACTTCAGACTAGCAGATTATTTTTTCTAAATAGTTCTGAAGAAAACATTTGGAAGTGAACACTCAAAACTTGGATCCAAGCTATTTAAGTTGCCTCCACTTCCAGTTTCTGGCAGGTTTTCTGACTTGGCTCTGAACCTTTTGACTGTGCCCATCTCTATTTTCATGTCTCTGCTTGAAAAATCCTGTTTCTTATCCAAAGCACTAAAGTATTGCCTTTTCCAAAAGCCAGGTCTGTTGTTTGTCACTTCTTCTCAGCAAGATGACTGGCTGGAAACTTAGTTGTTACTCAAACTTTTCATTTCACAGCCATTCAGATTCTCATTAATTTGCTTCCATCAGAAATTTGTCTTGTGAGACCTGTGATAACACACAGCTTTTTCTTATTAAAATCAAGGCATTCTGGGCTCATCCTCACTCCATATGTTGTGTATTTCAAACATTCCTGCTGGCATGGAGCCTTTTGGGTATTTTTATTGTTATCACAGGGTTGCCAGATGCATGGTATGGTGGCTGCTTTCCTTACCCAGTGCCTGCAAAGGTGCTTTTTGGATTCTAATTTAATAATATCCATGATTAAAGTAGTCAGCTGAAGGCTTTGTAACTACAACACCTAAAGGTGTTTTTAGTTTTCAGCATAAATTAAAGAGTTCAGAACAAAATATTTACACCTCCTCCCCAAATATTAAAATTAGTATTAAGAAATCATTCTGTTAGGCACAACAGTAATATAAAACTAATGGATAAAACACAGTATAGGTGGTGATCTGAAGTACCCTCACTAACAAGTGGCTGTATTTTTTGGAGTTCAGTACACTGACTTCACTGAAGCCATTTCATTTTGAAAGATGAGGCCAAATAAGAGCACTGATCCACTGTTCCCACTTCAGTCAGAACAGCATTTGTCTAAGCCTACAAAGAAGAACACTCTGAGAGTCTTATACATTTACTTTGAGGATACATGTGAAATTTTAAGCACATAAAATCACACAACAGTGGAAGTTAAGGATGAAAAGGCCTTCAATTAGGTTTCTTGTCCATCTCTATGTCCAAAGCCTACCTCCACGTTAATTATTCCTCACAAATTGTTATTTAAAACACTTTTAAAACTTTCCATGAGGTTTCAGAGCCTCCTGATGTGATCTGCTCTGCAACTCCCATTCCTGCTGTCAGAAAATGTCTTGAAGTTCCAAAGTATCTTGAGCCAACAATCACTTCCTTTCTTCCCTTTTCAGTATAACTCATCTCCCTTCTTGCTGTCACCTTTTATGTATTTGAATGCTGTTGTCACATATGCCATGAGAGATTTCAACACCAAACTAAGATTCTCCTGTTCCTGCAGCTTTCCTCAGACATTGTTTCGCAGACCTCCCACCATTGGGAGCTACCTCCAGCCTCCACAGGGACTACCCATGAAAGCTACACACATTTTAAGTACTGATCTGAGCTGGGGACTTAATTTTTAGTGTTGCCCAAGGCTGTCAAACACATGCTGGTCTGGCTCAATTGGATGACATTTCAGTTAATTACTGTTTTGATGATAAATCTGGCAGTTTTGCAAATGACTAAAATTGTAACTGCAGGTAAAAATTACCCTATTTTGCTAATGGAGGACAAGCAGTGCCAAACTGTTGTGCACCATATCAACCTGACCAGCAGGCAGTGTGTAACTTGTTAACAGTGTTTAATACTTGTAAGGTATTTCCTTAAGAGGGTAGGCATGAACAGGGTGTATTGGACACTGGTGTTCCTAAAATGTCTGGAACCAAATTCATCTGCTAATGAACAGCCATGCCCAATACCTACTGCACAGTGAGACACTGACACACACACATATCCTCATCCACAAGGAGGTTCAATCCCCTCCATCTGAGTACCCAAAAGCAGCACAACAGCATCTGTGGCAGTTGACACATGCCAAGTGTATGCAATCAAGCAAAACATAAAGAAATCAACAAGCCAATACATGTGCATAAAATATTATAATGAAAACTCAGGCAGACAGAGACCAAGTGGGAATAAGATGGAATGGAAACAGAGACTAAGCAACTGCCAGAGTCAAGAGCAATTAGCTCACAGGTGGGGGAGGGCACTGAACCATGGCTGGGCTGGTGTTAAAGGGGCTGTAAGAATTACATGCTCCTACTTCTGTTCTGTTTACTTAACTGTAGCTATTTCCAGTGTCAGCAGAATCCTCCAGCTTTTCCTAAAACTAATGCATAGTGTTTGCACAATGAATGAGCAACAAAGCAGTAAAAAAAGACCAGCATCTAGAACCAACAGAAGTCAAGTGCACAATTAGAAATCTATAGTTCCCAACACAAAAACAACTTAGTAATAAGCAAATGTATGATCTAACACAAGACAACTGCTTGTTATGCATTGTGTGAATGTGCAATATTCATAGAATATGTCTGTGTCAAGTATTCAGGAACTGTCAGGGACAAATGCAAACAGTATTTTAAAGAATTAGGAAGAATACACTAAGAGTGTTCCTTCAATGAATTTTTTTAATACTTTACTTAGGATCTCCATTTTGTAAAATCAGTGGAAAAACACATTCAACATTCCTTTGTGGAATATATCCTAAAGATACTCTGAACACACACCCATCATTTCATGAAAACCTTCCTGATCTGGTAACCACCCCTTGGGATTCCTCCACCTAAGCTGATGAATTCACACTTTAATTACCTACAGCACCAGTTTGAACATGGCTGTGGGACATAATTGTAAAGGGAATCTTGGAGTACAGCTGCATTAATTCTAGTAATGGCTTTAACAGACCAAAACACTGAAGAAGGCTGCATCTCCCACACAGCTGCTTCCCAGAAAAAAGCACTTGAGCATTGGATCTTACCTGACTTTACTTATCTTTCTTCTGCCCAGATTATGCAGATGAACAAAATTCTTACAAATTAATTAAACAAAATTAGTTGTTGATATAAAATCATCAATTCCCATGAAATCACCTAAGCTAAAGATGAAACTGGCCCACGTGGTTTTGCCATTTAAAAATAAATGCAGCAATAATTAACAGCTGCAATGGAGTTTGTCATGGTAACCTCAGAGTGTGAGGTTTGATCCTCCACATCTGGATGGTAAATTGCTATTTCTCCATCATACCTGTGGGGATGGTTCTCACACATAGATTAACTTAATAAAATAAATACTTCTTTGTAAGGAATATGCATGAGCCACATCTTCTTAATTTTGTTCTTCCTCCCTGGTATTGCTCCCATCCTCCTGGTAACACACCCAAGTTATAAAAGTGCATCACTGAATGACTTCACCTCTCTGGCCTGCTCCTGAGGCTTGGCAACATGCATGGCAATCAATCTTTGGTGGACTAGAATTTTTATTGAAAGGAAAGCTTATTGATTATTTAGCTTCTGGAGGTTTTTTCAGCCTCTCCACTGCCAGGTAGACTCTTCAGAGTGCTGTACCTCAGGTTGGCTATCTGGTGTCAAAAATCAGACCACAGGTTTGACTGTGAAAAATCTAGAATAAAGAGGCTGGCAGAGCTGATGGAGATCTGGCTGCAGCACTGAGCAGAAAGGGTAATTTCTTCATTTACAGTTCTCCTGCCAGTGCTATGTAGGGACCCTGCCAGCATAAGCTGGCAGCATCTCTCTCAGTGTTGGCTTTTGAGATGTATTTGTACTTCTTGCCTGCAAGATGCACCCATGTTTATCTGAGAAGTTGGATACAGGTAAGGAGCACCATTTATTTGTACTAAATGGAACCTGAAACTCCTTGAGACGGTAAAACACCAAGATCTTTCAGTAACAGATACTGGCACAAACATTCTCTCTGGGGAAGAGATCCTCCTCTGTTGTCATCTTACTGCAGGGATCCCATACTGCTGTCTCCTTATCACAAAAGTTTCATACCTGCTTGGTATTTCTTATGGGCAGCTTCTCAGAGCCCTGACTCTCTCTTCCTCACAAAGCAACCAAGTGACTCCAGTTCCCCTCTCAACCAGCCAAACCCACTCTTTTATAGCATCTTCGTCTCACTGGTTACAGCTGTGGCCTGTTAAAGCCAGGCCTGTTCATAATGTTTGATAACTGGCCCAGCTGCAACTCCTTAGGGGAAAGATTACTTTCTACACTATCTGTATTTTTTTATATCCTATCCCTCTACACTGCTCTCATTGTACTTTCTCAGCTCTATCTATTGCCCTTTGTTTGTTTGTTTTTGCTTTGTTTTTCCTGTTGTGTTGTTAAACAGATCTTTTGAAAATCAGCAGTAACAGCTAGGCACATTAACTGGTTAGGCAAAGCAGAAGTAGCTCTTGCATTGTGGTGGTATTTGGGAGAAAACCTTAGGACTAGGAAGTGTTAAGCCAGAGAGTTTCACAGCTTCTAGGCTTGATTTTACATAGTTAGAATCCTGCTTTAAGGAAAAAAAGTCTGACCCAGAATTCCTCAGTGAGATGGAAAAGAAGCATGTCACCAAACAGAGCAAACTGTAGGGAGGAGATGATGATATCCATGATTAATCTTTGCACCCACATGTCACACATGATTAAGTAGTGTACACCCATATGTGCACTGTTGATCTAGAAAAATGAATCCCACATAAGACTTCCTATCCAGACATAATGTGAACAGCTTCAAGACTATCCATGCCCAGTCTCACAGTCTCAAGAACAGGCAGGATGTACACCATGTCAAATTTAAGAGTGGCCTATCTGCTCATCTAAATCCTGAGGAGCCTTTCAAGAGAAAACTTGTCAGTGCATACCCATGTGCTGAGTTACCACCATGCATTTAACAGTGATGAAATTGCTTATTCTGGCATATCTTACCCATGAAATGCTTGTAATTAACTCAAGGAAAAAATGCACTAAATTTAAAGCATCAAAACCAGAATAACTCTTTCAGCTGTGAATGAACTGCAAGATTTCTCATTTCAGGAGTGTCATATAATATGGTATGGCATGGCTGTCACCAAAGAGGCTGGTGACAAAGAGAGCTTGTTCAGTGTCTGTTGATGTGTGTGGTGGAGGTCACTGCAGCCAGGACACAGACTTGAAGTTACCTGGATTACTGAAGGGAAAACTTGCCATCAGTTAAAGCAGGTGGCATTCCCTAGCTTGGTTCACTCAGCATCAGGTCAGTTAAGACAAATGCTCTTCACCCAAAATACAGTTGTGTTCATGTGTTGAGAGGGAGACTGGTGGCTGTCCCACACAGTGTCAAACACACTCGTGAGGCAGCTGCAATTCCAGTGTCCTCAGCACCACATGAAATAACACCATTAGCTGACTCCATGTGCTACACACACTTTCACCAAAGCTCCATCAGGACAGCACATTCTGCTTCCCTTCAGGTCAGCAGGAACTTTCTCAATGACTGCAAATGTCACAAGGGCTAAGCTGCCTTTCCACAGGAAGACAACACAACAGCAGAAAAAATATAACAGTAGTCACTTGAACCCACAGAGGTTGTAAGAAAATATTACACACTCATCAGTAAAGCTTTCTGTATACTCTCTGCACACCTCTGTGTAGAGAAAGAGACTTAAAACACAGTTATTTCAGATAGGGATATTAACTGAATTTGCACTGAAATTGCTTTGAAAAGCAATACAGGTCATAAACATTGAAAATTTTCTTTTTTAAAAGCCATTACTAGCATGAACAGTGTATTTCACTCAAGTAAAAGGCAGAAGCCAAAGAAGCTTCCCTGCCTATTTTACTTGCTAAAGGAAATGGCACTGAAGACAACTATGCTGTCTTCCCTTTAGCTGAGTATTTTGGGAGAAGGGGTGATAGAAAGAGTATTTATTGAGTTCCTATTGGTTTTGAGTATCTTAAATATTTTGAATTTTAAGAATTTGCCTCAACCTTTACATTAAGAAGTGACAGTTTCATACCTGTTCACAAATTTTGATGAACTTCCAGCCTCACAATTCTGAGGCAGCTGTCCTTAGACATGTGATGTGGTTTGCATAAATATTCCATAGACATATCCCCCATCTCACAACAACCAAGCACACTTGAAACATTACATTGATCATTAACTGTATGGCAACCAGGGGAGAGCTTTAAGCCAGCTCTCACTCACTTGTGAGCCTGATTTGCCACAAAAGGTGGTGGTAGAGCCCAATAACTCTGCCCCATGGAAATCTCAGCCCTCTAGATATGACTTGATTCTCAGCAGTGTAAGAGATGGAAAACTGCCATGAGCACTTTAATATTTCATCCTCAGGAAAAGACTTCTAAAATTTTACTTTATAAGGCTTTCTCTAGCCTCAGGTAAATGATCTAATTCATTTCCAGGGAGGAAGTGTATTTTTAAACCTTGCCTGCTGATGCTGCAGTTTGGTAGGGTGTGCTCAGTAGAATGGTTATTCTAAAACAAAAAAATAACCAGTGGTGCTGCTGAGGTGATGATGAACATTAGTCACTCATGTCTGCACTCAGAGCAACAGGGAAACCCCCAGAAGCTCAGGAAATAGGAGAAGTCTCCATCTCTGCTTACACACTCACTGGATGACTTGTTTGGTACACCAGTTTAACCCACTGGGTCCCACCAAGGCCTCCAAACTACAGGTAACTGCTCAGAGCAGCTTGTCTGCACTTGCAAATAAAGCACGTTCACTTTTTCAGCTTCACCAATTCCAGCAGTACTGATACATGTGAGCAACCCAAGAGTTATGTGCACACAGCACGGAGTGAGCTCTTACAGCAGGTATGTGAGAAAATGAAACAACTCCGCAAGCTCTGCTACAATTCAAATACTTTTAACACAAAAATGTACTCAGACCATCAGAGATGGCAAAAGCTGTACTGGGGACTAGTTTGGGCAAGGGCTTAGATTCAAAAGGCTTGAATTTTCTTAAAATAATGATCAACCAGTTCTCCAGCAAAGACAAGAACATTGAGGTCTGTTTACTGTTTCCTTCATCTCCTACATCCCATAAAGACTTCACACTGTCATCTTTGACTTGTTATGTCAGAGAAAATCCCACAGGCACAGAAATAAGAGACAATCATATGCTGACCCCTTTCATTAGCCCTGTGCCTCACCACTTGGTTACTCACACAGGCAGCAGTGAGAACTACACTGCTCATCTCACCTGGCTCCTACATTATCTTTGGTAATGGCAAATTGCAGTGCCCCTCAGCTACAATAAATCCAGGCAGTTCCTCTTTTCAAGACAGCTACCTCAAAAATTGCAAGCCACAGATGTAAAGTAGACAAGGCAAAAAAAAATTACTTTTGTTTTAGCTTATGCTGATGTCATTCTAGAGACTTCACTTTTAGTTACTGGGCATTTGCACCATTATGAGAGCAGAATCCATCTCCCAAGGACAGGTTTTGTTATAGTAAACTGGTTTTACTCCAGCTGGTCTATAAAGTCCTTCCCTTGGTATATTTACATGGCTATAAGCAAGTCAGAACATCTTTCAGAGATGTGAATTGCAGCCAGCAAAACACAGCCCTAGGGTGATGCAGAAGTGGGTAGGGTTTTAAAACTTTCTGCAGCAGTTAGTGGTTAGGCACATGAAAGCACCCCACCCTCCTGCCCCAGGCAAGAGAGAATATGCAGACAGTGCACAGTGTACCTCGTGCATCAGGATACATCACTTGGCTTTAAACAAGATCAACAGATTTCAGAAAATGAGAGAAGGGGTAACACATATGTGCCTTGAGACATGTTCACCAACATCCCAGATACTCAGTGGCAATGTTTAGGGGGAAAAGGCCTGGTTGTTGTGCCCAGCAAACAGTCAAATGGAAGTGTTGCAATGCTCCTGACACCCTGGAAGAGAAGGACCCATGAAGCACAAACTGGAGTTTCTAAACTCAAAGCCAGTATCCTTTACTATTACCTTCCATTTTGCCTTTGCTACTACAGATGATGCCCTCAGGGGAATTAAAACATGTCATTGTCCTGAGAACGCTGATATGTCAGCCCCAGTGCTCTCCTGCTACCACAGGGTAATTCTGAGGGTACATAGGTAATATCTTTACCTATGCAGCCAAACTGGTGTACACTTGGAAGAAAAAATAATCTGATCTCTAAAATGTCAACACAGAAATACCAAAGGAAATAAAACCAAGGAGCACATTTTCCTTTTGATTCCCTGGGGAAACTAATTTCTCTGAAGGGAAGTGGTATGTTCAGCAAATAGAGATCAATAGTTTTATTGCCCAGTGCACAATTTCCTACATTTTTTTCAATTATTTCGCTTACCCCAAACTATTCTGTCACAAGAGGAATCAAAGAAATCAAACAATAGCATTACAGTGCTTAATAAAGACTGTATTGCAATGAATGTTCTACTGTGTGCACATACTGGTGATCTTAGCTGAACAGCATGAGAAACACTCTGCAGAGTGCCATAAACATGCCAGAATCAATGACACATAGATAATCTGTTTTCCTCAAGGGAAACAGATGAGCAGTTTTTGAGAGGAAGGTTTCAGTCTAACTCTGGTTTGCCAATTGAAGAAAACATAATATCCATCACTACTGTGTTTCTGCAATAGAAATACTGGATAGTGCCTGGTGGCACTCCAGTTCCCAGCTCTGTCAGGGGCTTCCAGCCAAGTGTTGGGTGAGCCATGTTTGTGCAGTACTGTGTAAACCCCGGTAAATTCAGAGGTAAATGGAGTAAACACAACTAAACACTACCAACCTGAACAAGACCTTTTCCTAGAGTCACTGCCCATCTGTGAATACTGATGACAATATTTCCTTTCCTCTACTCTAGATGTAGCACACTGAACTCACACACCCATGTGGCACCATTGCTCTGGATTCCAGTCCCAAACAATCTGTCATCTCACTGGGGTGGGGCATTCGGGCGTTGCTCTCATTAAGGGCAATGATAATGCACAGGATGACTTCTTCATGTGTTATGTTCCTGTAAAATCTTACTGCAATCTCACCTGGCAAATGATCTAAAATCTCAAACTTGCTGTTTTTCTTGTGCAACTCATCTGTTAGCATGTCTGTACAACAGAGCATGAGTAATTTAAAGTAGGGACCATCCTTGAGATTGAAGGAAATACCCTGTGAGCTTGGAGACATGCCACCACAAAGCTCCAGAGTATCTGAGATCCAGCCTTCTTGATAAATTTGCAGCAGAAGTTCTATTAGCACTTTTGCTGTTGTGTTCAGGAGTCCATTTTTAACATATTAAAAATTTAAAATATTTATTATATTAAATTAAAGATTTAAAAAACTAAACTCAAAACCCAGAAAAGAGGCAGATTTAAAAAATGCTTCCAAACTGCCTCAACACTTGGGGTATTGTTCAATGGGGAATTTTGGTAGATGGTTACAAAATATAGTACAACACCACATAAGGTAAATTCCCACACTTGCTACTGAAAATATTATTTCTAAATCAATTACACTCACGGATAAAATCTTATACAAGGTGTAACCTTAAGGCCTCAAGTTCTCACATTTCCCAAAACAGCTTGTTGTAGATGGCCTTTGAATGCTTTGATACCTTTTACTGTAGGAAAGTAAAAGGTTGCTATTATCCCTGTCAAATCTTCTTTGAAGTGTGCAAATCTATGAAAACTCATGGTCAAAACCTCAGCAACTGCTAACGTGTTATCACACCTACAACACTCAATGCTTACTCACCTCAGCTCCAGACTCTCTCTGGTCTCAACAGAGATAGGAGTTACACAAGGTGAAGAGACAATAGTGTCCTCACCTGTAGCAGAGAGGAGGAACCAGGCAGGAAATCACTGCAGCCCTGACACACAAGCCAAGGGCACGATCCAGGCATGTGGGTGCCTGCACCCCACGTGCAGCTCTCAGCACGGCTGCGTGAGGCATCGAGGCACAGCTCGGGGCCGTTCGGCTGTGGGCAGTGCGGAGGAACCGCTGGGACACGACCCCTAAGGGCTGGCAGCTGTCGTTGCTGTGGCTTCCTCAGCTCATCCTGTCAGTCCTGACAGCTACAGCTGAGAAACATTTTGTACAAATCAGTTTTGAGGAAATGCACATGGGGAAGCCAGGTGTGCAGCTGATGGAGACAGAAAGATTACTATTGACTTAGAGTGTTAGGGAGCTCTCTAATCCTGAACGGCACTGTGCAGCCACAGCTGGGATTGCTCCTTCTCACGGTCACAATCTCCCTGTTTCTCCAGTCAAATTTCTTAATTTTCTCTTATTTCCCACAACCATGACAGTGCTGCTCAGGTCACACATCTCCCAGTGAGTCCCTCAGTTACACTTTTTCCCCTTATGTGTGGAGAGTTCCTGGGATAAAGGCTTTTGCAGCTTGAGATGGAGAGCTGTGGTTCTCTTAGCTGTGAAAAAAGGCCTACTGTGCTATCCATGGGGAGGCAGAACCCCTCTCCCTGGCACAGGGACACATGCAGGGACATTGTCTTATCATCTTCAGCTAGGCCAGAGAATGTTTAAGTTGCTCACTAGGAGAAATTTTTTCACAGAAATGGTGAGTGGAATTTGAACAGACTGCCCAGGGAGGTCCTGGTCCACCCCAGAAAGCATTTAAGACTGAACATGGCACCTGGTGTCATGGTCTAGTTGACATCGTAGACCTGGGTTATAGGCTGGATTCGATGATCTTAACTTTTCAGCCTAAATGATTCTGTGAGGTGACACCTGACCTCGGCCCAAACCCCAGCCATGAATGGCGGGCCCACGCTGACCTAAGAGATAGCACCCCCTGGCATGCCCAGATGAAAAAGGAAAGTCTACGAGGCCCAGGGGATGCTCCGCGTTTCCCACTCGCGGGATCGGCATCAGGACCGGGACCGGGAGAGGAACCACGATCTCCCTCAGGCTCCGCGCCCGCCCCTCAGCCCCACAGCGCCTCCCGCCGCGCGCAGGCGCGAACAGCCGGCACCGCCCGGACACGCGCAGTGCGCAGGCGCGGGGCCGCCCCGGCCCGGCCGCGGGAGGTTGAAGCGCTGAGGGGAGCGGGGGACGGAAGGGCGGTTCCGCCGCGTTCTTTCCCCTTTCTCCCCGGTCCTTTGGGGTTTGTGCTCCCCCAGGGGCCTCCCTTCGCTCCTCAGCCCTGCGGGTCGGTGCTGTGGCTGTGTTTTTGGGGTATAGCACCTCAGAACGAGCTCCACAGGTCTGTGGCCGTACTTATGGATTCCCCAGGGTTCATCTTGCTTCTCTGCGGGTGGAAAACTAGCAGGGCAAAAGCTTGAGTGTTAATTGTATTGTGTTAATAGAGCCTTTTGTTGTTGAGACAGTAAAAGGAGTGAGTGCCTTTATATAACGTAGCTATTAGCAGGAAAACAGAGGACAGTTACAGACGTACCCAAAGTGCAAAAGTCAAGTAAGTATTGAAAAGCAAAATTGTGTTTTCCCCTTCTAACTCAAAATTTCTTTACTTGCTGGACAGAATTTTTTGTGTGATGAACAGCGTTACTGGTTGAGAATGCCAAGGATTCTTAGCCAAAGATACAGGAAAAGGATTTTAAGAGTGCAGGAGATCTGTGTGAATATGCTGCCAAGTAACAGTATTAGTAAACCAGCGGAAAAAGTATTAGTTCTGGTCATTTAAAGACGAATTTGCATTAGAAAGTAAAGGCAGAGAATCGTGGGATTGTTTGGGGGTTTTAAAGCTATCTCTTAGGCTTAAAATTATTTTGCTCCTTGGAAAGACTCACAACATATTTGTCATATACAGTATGGATAAGAATGATGTTGCTTTTTCTAGGCTCTTCCTTACAAAAAGAAATAATGGTATTAAACTTTGATTATATTTAATGGATGCTGTGGGCTTCCTGTTTAATTGATAGATTGCTAAAATACCCAATTAACTAGACTCCTTACTAAGGTCTGGGTTTTTTTAATGGAGTACCATATGTTCAATTTTGAACAGCTGGGAAGGAATGTTGACTTCTAAGATAAATGAGGACCTCCATCCTTTGGTATCAAGGCAGGAAGACCAGGGTTGCTGGGCTATTAAGGCTTTGGCATACTGAAGCTTTGGCAGTTTTCACCTGTGAAGAGGCAGCCCCTTGTGCCAGCCCTCTGTTGCCTAGTTTTGGTTTTCAGGATTTTATTCTTGAGAGGCTTCTGTCTCAAAGCGTGTAATTGCAATTTGCAGGTGAGTGGAGGTATAGCTGTTGACTTTCCAGCCGCATTCTGGTCATTAGTAGGTGGTTCACAATTGCTAAATGAAATTAAACATTGCCAAATTGATTTGAAGCTGGTTCATGCTGGGAGGTGTGACTTAACCATTTTAATTAAGGTGCCTTTCTGAGTGAGCTTGGGATGTTTCCTGTTAATCAAAACTTCCACCTGTGTGAGTAATTACTTTTTTAAGCAGCACCCCCAGAAGGCTCAAATGAGACTGGATTGTTTTCAGAGACCTGGAAACCCAATTATATTGTTCTATAGAAAAGATTAATTGTTTATTTTTGTGGACAACAAAAACCTTCCTGGCTCCACAGAGCTTTAGGAGTGAGGGGAAAAATAATATATTAAATGGATAGTAAAGGATTTTATGGCAGTTAGTTATGGCAGGTAAAGAAAAGCTGATCACAAAACAAGATGCTACTTAGCACATGAAACAGTTGTGTAACTTATGCAGGTGTCCTTTTTGAACATACCAGTTAGAAAATAAGCCTTAGAATTTTATATTAGAGCTTTTTACTCGTTTCTGCAGCCAAGGGCTCATTATAATCAGGTGACAATGACACCATAATTTATCCTGTCATTTAACAGAGACAGCTATTCATTTCAAGATGGAAGAGTCAGTGCTGGCTAAATTGCCATCTTTGTGCAGTACTCCAAAGGATTCTGGGGCACCACCTGCCCAGGGGACCAGTTCAGGGAAACAGGTATGAAAACTTCCTACTTTTCCAATAATATGATTGTTCACAGTAACAGGAATGCTTGTGAAATCATGCAGGAGTCAGAAGTCACCGAGATGCTGCTTGCTGGAGGGCTAGAGACAGGCACCTTCTACCTGTAGCTAGGAGGCTGTGCAGGTAAGGAAGGTGCCTGGGGTACTTTGCTGTGAAAATGCAGCTGTTTGCTGTGAATACAAAGTGATGGAGCAACATAACCCAATGTCTTACTAATAAATTTAAATATTATATAGGGTGTGTGATGGATTTTTTTGCTTCTTTCTTTTAACCTGTCATCTTCAGTTTTCTCAAATCCCAATTTTCTGGGTTGCTGTGCATGCAGGATGAGTTTCTGTGACTTCTGCCTGAGTGGAACAAAGTACAATGCTTTCAGTTTGTGTCTTCTCCATAGTGCTGAGCTCTGCTTTGGTCTTATCCTGGGGTCTGAAATGGTGATACTGTGACACTCAGCACCCAGATCTATGCAGGACAGGCCTGGTTTGAAAGTATTCCGTACCTAATCCCTCACTCCTGTATTTTAGTGCATTTCTATAAATAAAAATGTTAGACACAGATGATAAAAAATAGTTATTTTGAAGAACAAAAAAATCTTTTCAGATGGTTGTGAAGTCTCTGGAAGCATGAACAGGTCAAAACTATACAGGTATTTCTAATATGTTCTAGAATACAGAACATACCTCCATTAAACCCTTATCTCCATTAAACTAGAGGGGAAATTGATAGCATATTTCAACTTGGCTAATTTTATTCTATATTTCTTTTACACAAACACTAGATGAGTAAGTTTACCTCACTAGAATACAGGATTTTGTCCAAGAAAATGTGGAGCCACACCTTTCCATATCTTGCAGCTGTGTGTGCAAATAGATGTGAAAGGAAGAAGTTGACTTGGTTCAAGTTTTGTAAGGCTGTACAGAGAATTAGGAAGTCTGGCTTTACAATGATAGTTAAACATATTACACATTCTATGTAAATAATAATGATTGCTAAACAGTTATTTGAGATTTGATGAAAATTTAAGAATATTCTGACCACCTGGGTTTTCTGGGTTTATTTATTTTGTTTTTTAGCAAATGAGTGCAGCTCTGAGGGAACGATTAAGGAAAACAAGACGTTCATTTAATGCCAATTTTACAGTGGCAAAGCGGCTCAAAATAGACACAGAAGAAAAAGACACTGCTGGTGCTGCCACTGAGTGCTTGCCAGAGACAAGGGCAGACTGTTCCAGGTTACAAGATGGTTCTGAAAGCCTGGAAGGAAATGGCACTGGACATACATGTTTCAAAAGTCCCTCACAGGAGAGTGATCCCTGTGGATCAGCAGAGAATTCAGATGTGCTGCAAGTTGATGTTGGTCAGCAAGAGTCCCTTGAAGAGAAAGTAAAGCTGGAGAAACAAGTGCAGGAGAAGGAAGAGCTGCTGCGTAGGCTCAAAATGGTGAAGATGTACAGATCCAAGGTGAGGCAATACTCACTGGTGTTTTACTGTGCTGCTTGTGTATTGTCTCAGGTGAAGGCATTTTATAAGAATATCTGCTGTCAGCAGATGATGACTCTTTTTTGTCTGTCCCAATTTCAGAACAACCTGTGTGAGCTGCAGGCTTTGATAGTGAAGTGGAGGAGCAGCACCCAGCTGATGCTGTATGAGCTGCAGTCAGCCTTTTCTGCAGATGGCACGAAAGTGAGTCTCACTCAGCTCATCGACACCTTTGGGTTAGAAGACCAGTTACTGCACTACAGCAGAACAGAAGAAGATTTTGTAGATGCATAATCTACAGCTGCAGAGCTTTCTTTGCACAGACACAAAAGCAGAAAAGACTAAATAAATTCTGATTGTGTCAGAAGTGTTGGTCAGACAATGGACTTTATGCTTTGAGGTTAGGAGGTTTTCTCCAGAGACACATGTAAAGCTGTGTGCATACATACAGTAGGCACTGTAAAAGGCATTACTTAATGGAAAAAAATCAAACTGGTGATGTTTTGGAGAATCTGGCTTAATGACTTGGTCAGTGAATTTTTATTTAATAAAGTCATAGTTTAACAGGTAGAAAGAAGTCATTTTTTTTATTAGTCTCTGCATGGTTACTTGTATTGAAATAACTCAAATTGTCAATTCTGTTGATGTTCAGCTGGGGAAGAGTGCAGTTTGTTTACAGATAAACCCATTTTACATGTCTTCCTGGTGCTAATGACAGCATTTTGTGAGTTAAGTGAAGATAACTGATTTTCATGATGGTAATATTCCAGAGCTGAGATAAGATGTTTTCACTAGCTTTAACTCCTACTGAGGAAAATGTGTCATAATGCAGTTGCTTTCAGGTTCTGGTCCAGACAGTCTCTGCAGAGCTGCTGTCTCATAAGAATTCTGCCACAGCCTGAGGTAACAGAAGGGAAGGCAAGAAAATTGAAACCAGCTTTTTCTATTATTCTACATCTAGAGCCAAGGTGTTTCCTCTCTTCAAATAAATAAGAAAAACAAGGCCTTGTTTAATGGGATTGCTTCAAATACAGCATCGTAAAGCTGAATAAATCTTTACAATTCCATTTATTCTCCAACAAATGCCTTTGTTGAAAGTTGTTTTTATTTAACTTGAAATTGCTTATTTTTTCATCATGGTACCTTTTGTTTTTTATTTTCCCTAAAATCACTGCTTCTCAAGTGTAGCAATACATAAATCTTAATGACTATACAACTCTCCCTGCTAGGAATCTTGTTTTCTTATTGGTTATACCCTGCCTTTTTTGTTTGCAGGTGCTATATCCTGTTACCTTAATAAGGGAGTAATTTCTTAGCTCAAGAGAAAGAAAATCAAAGATCATACAGAGCCTTTTAACCAGTGGTAAGGCTCATTAGACTTCAGCCTGTACCTACAATTTGCTCTTAAGAATACTGACTCTTGCTGTCCAGAAAGAATGCAGAATAGCCTTTATTGCAAATCACATTTTGAGTATTAAAATACTATTTCTCTACCATTTTAGGCATGTGCAAAAAGATGATGGTGCCTGGTGCAGGGGCCAGTTCTCTTCCCTGAAGTTGGAATGATGCTGCTTCTTTTTCAGCAGAAGACAAAAGGTCTTGTAGTGAGATGTAATTAGAATCCTTACAAATCCCAGGTAGAGATGGCAAAGCGAAAAACCAGATGTACAGGATCACAACTGACATAGTAGAATTTTAAGCTAAGGCATCAAAGCTATTTGTTGCTCTCACAATGAAATGGGTTAAGATGTCATGTGACTTTATGAAAGGAGAAGGATTGACCACACCATGGAGCAGGGAAATAAAAAGCAGGGACAATGCCTGAGATTGGGCTCCAGCAGTAGGTAACTTTATCACAGGTCCTTTATTTTTCTGAGCTGGCAGGAAAATACTCTGGACCTCAGTGTAGAAGGGTGGGAGATACCAGCAACTATTTCAGGAGGCCAGATGCTTCCAAACCTGGTTTTCCTGTGATTCTGCCTGTGGCAGCAGCCACAGTTCCTGCTGGCTGTGGATAATTATCCCACAATAAGGCACAGCTGCCTTTGGGATGGGGCCAGCTTGCACACATGGTTCTTTTCTATAATGAGCTATATGGTTTATATAATAAAACCAGTAGAAATAAATCTCATCAACTGAAATATAATGAGGTTAAGACCAGGTGTAAAAAATACAAATCAGACACCTGTGCATCTTTTAGATGGAAGTTATTTAAAGGAATTACGGAAGAAACAATTCGTGGAAAGAAAAGTTCAGAGAGAAGAATAAGCTATCAAAATTCTTTTCCCTTAGATAAGACCATGGTATTATTCATCTGTTATTCACCTCTGATTTTTAAACAATATGGAGTGTTCCTGGATTCCAACTTTCAAGTTTTGACTGAAGAAGTGCAAGCTGTTTTTCCTGTTCCTTTATAAGGTTCCGTAGATATTTCTGCTTCACAATCTCTCGGTAACGCTGCCTTGTGGTCTTCTCAGAAATATCCCGTGTGTCTGCAGAAAACAAAGTGTTAGTGTTAGCCTGTGCTCATAGGGGATGTGTGGTCTCTATGGGACCTGTCCTGGGGTTATTCCAATTTCTGTATAAAATAGGCAAGCATTTTGAAAAAAGGCTCACAGTTGGGCTTAAAAGCCTTTATAGTACTGAATAAAGCAAAATATTTCAAAAAGGCACTGGACATGCTTTCTTCAGCTTCTAGCAAGTACCCACTGTCTTGAAAATCTGTAACTGTTTTCCACTAGTGGAAAGATCTCTGTAAGTTTTCCTAATAGTGAATACTATTCTTAGCTCTACATTACTTTCTCTGTTCTCTTGGAAGGTGGAAAGAAGCCCATTGAACAGCTCTCAGAAAAAAATGAAATAATTTGCCTAACGAAATCATTAATGACTGTAACATTTTGACTTGAACATTTCCAGGAATTCAGCTAGCTTTGGTTACAAGAGCCACAAGAGAGTTACCTCCAGGTAACTCTTCAGTAACCATGGTAGGTGTTGGCAGGAAGGACTCTGCTCACTGTGCACATACAGTAACAAACAGGCATTCCCTGCCCCTCAGCTGATGGTGGAGAACAGCACTGCCCAGCCTTGCAGTAATTTTCTGAATGTTCTTTGCCTGTGCCTTAAGTGCCTCACTGGACTCACCAGCTGCCTCGAAGATGTGCATCCTTTCTGACACAGAGACCAGCATTTCCTTCAGCTGCAGGCTGAGCTCGTAGTTCTCCTGCTCTTTCAGACAGATGCACTTCTTCAGCTCTCTGACTTTTTTCTGATGGTTTTTCAAATTCTTCTTGTGCAACTGTCCATTTTGAGATGAATAAAGCAAATATATGAGGTCATAGAAAAACTGTTCAGACACATAATTATAAAAAGTTATAATTTTAAGCACTGTGTTGTACCTTAATAAACTCTAGTGTATGTTGAATTGACTAGTAGCACATGATAGGATTTACTTTGGAAAGTGTCTTTCACATATGGTATCTCAGTTTATGGAGTTCTAATTTAAGGAGCAGCCAAGGAATAAAGAGGTATATGTCAGGAAGAAAGAGATATTAAAGATAAAACTTGAAAGGCAAAGGGAGAAAAGGAAGTCAATGGAATCGGTGAGTTAAGGACATGCTCTAAGCTGCTGAAGCTGATGGATGGGCTGTAAAGGGACAAGATAAATTCTGAAGCTCTAAGAGGAAGAGGAAGCTGATGCCAATTAGCACAACTTGGAGAAAAATCCAGTGAAATCACTTAAAAAAAAAGGACAGTCATAATTTGAATGATGAAATACATGAAGCAGCCTGCAGATCAGATTGTTGTGTCTCCTATTTTGAATACAAAGGGGAGGGATACTTTGAATAGGCTGGTGCTCCTGGAGAGAAACATTAAACACTGAAGATGGAAAGAATGCTTCATTAGGAATGGAGAAATGACTTATAGGCAGTGCTGTGTAAGAAATGATTAGCACATCTGCATTCAGATGTTCAGGTAGGAAAGTAATTAATTCCAGTAACAGAGCAAGAAGCCAGGCTTCATCTCTGCAGCAATCCATGTGTGATGAGTGCTTCCAAACACTAGAGACCTGCTGCTGTAGACAGCACAGCTCAAGTTGAGGAAACAATTGAAAACCAGATGGACAAATACATGATATATCTATATTTATATATCTATGTGTCTCTCAGATGTGGTGGTTCCCTTGGATTTACCTTATCCATGACGCTGAGGCTCTGCTCCATCCCTGCTAGCTGCTGAGCAGTGTGGGTGTCATAATTGTGCACAGTTAGGAACTGAAAAAATAAAACCAGAAAGAAATGATCTTATGCCTGTTCATTCACAACAATTCCACCCTTCTATGAAGAAAATCATACCATGTGGAACTCAAAACACTGGAATTCTGCAGTGGTAAAGCTTACTAGTGATCATAAATGGACCTTGTAAAGATATGCTTGGATGCTGTGGGAGTACCTAGACTGTGCAGCTGTTAAAAAGGATGTTATCTATTATATATTTGTAATGGAAACAAGGGCCAAACAAGTATGCTGAGGCTGTCAGAAACTCTAAGGCATGCTTTTGCTTGTAATCTAAGCTAACATAGCTGGAGGCAGTCTGTCTTTAGGCTGCAGAGGAAAATTATTATTTTCTGTCTAGTGGCTTCCTAATCATTCTTACTTCTCTTATTGTTCTATCTGCATAGTAACTGACATATCAGAATTTATTGATTTTTTTCTTTGAGCACACTGCTACTAAAATACCTCTTTATCAAATGACAAATGGTAAACTCCATAATGTTTTATGGATCTATAACAGGCAGTAGACAGGTTTCTGTAGATGTAGATTCATCCTTCCAGAGTACTGTCCCACCAAAGTGACAGGGAGAATCCTGTGGACTGTTCTAGTTACAGGAGGAGAAACAGGAAAGACCCAGAAGGGGCTCCTTGCCTACAGGATTAAACTTCTTTCACTCACTGCTTCATTAACAGCCCTTATTCCAAATGGTCTCAAGTCCTTGCTCACACACATTTTCATAAGCCATCTTTCTTTCCATTCCTGTTGTTGGGGTATCTGTTACCTTGTCTTTCCCACTAACCCCATATTTCTAATCCAAAAGTGACCTAAGTCAATTCCCTCAGGGCATTCATATTCTGATTAAGCTGGTAAATGCCTTTACTATGGGCAGTTTAACTCTCTGAAGGGCAAGAGCTCTGCACATCAGTTTAATGAATACACTTAATGGCAACACTGGTGATAAACTTGCCACAAGAATTTTTCAATGCACTGTCACAACACCTCTTTGGAAAGCTGTTCTGGTGATTTGTGTTAGTTATGAAAGTCCTGTGGCTGTGATTCAGAACATGCATTTTGTAGAGCAGCAATACAAATGAAGATTAAGCAAAACATATGTTTTGAATTTTCTTCTAATCCTTTGGTTGAATTGCAATATCCTTACCTGCTGTCCAACACTTTCCTTTTCCTCTGTGCTTTACAGCTGTCCCCACTGCTGTATCTTCAGCCTACCCATCCTTCAACATCCCTTACTCCAAACCTTTATGCCACCCACATCATCAGCATATCACTGTAAGATTTGCCTACAGTTTTCAACGTCCCATACTGCAATACCCCCAGGCATTCCCTACAACCTTCCTTCTCCCAGTGGTATTCTTGGCCGTGTCCCACAACCTTTACCTGTTTCTGCTGCCTGCCAGCTGGGCTTGTAGGAAGCTGTGTAGGTGCTGACCTGCTGGCGGCCGCCCCTCCTGGCTCCCGGCTCTGCCGCTGGGCCAGCGAATGGCAGCGAGAGGGTGGGACCCGCTGAGGCTCCCCCAGGAACCTCCGGCTCCGAGCAGAGAAAAGCTAAAAAATGTCCGTGCCATACCAGCTGGGGGCACCTCAGACTTCCACTTACAAAGGACTGCTCGATTTAAGAGATCTGTTCCTTGTGGCTGCAAAATTCTGGTTCCTTATTCAAGACCAATTTTGAAACACTGAGTTAGGACTAATTTTGCCTTAATTTAACACTGTAACATCCCAAAGAATTTCATCACTGCTCAATCTCATGAGTAAGACTTCCATTTGAAAGCTGAATTGTTGACCTATTAGGAATCATGTTTCTCTGG